TATGTTTGAAATTTCGTAGTAGTTTTTAACGTTGGTTTATGCTGCGTATTACTAAGCTTCTTTTTGTCATGTTTTTGTACACGAGGGATATCAGTCGGATAATCATACGCGGTTCCACAGATGGATTTGAACTCTGCTAGATCTCTGAGTTTTTTATTGCCAATTTGTGAATGATGATTCAGAAATCTTTATCACTGAATTTTACACGTATGTGTGAAATAACGGATGTATTTACCAGATGAAAAAAACATTACATTGGGTAATATAATGCACATTTATTGACAGTCTGATATACAGCCTCGGAAATGAGGTTTGTGCAAAGTCGGAATAAAGTAAGAAAATAAAGTTGAAAATAAGTGTGTCCTCGTCCATGACATAAGCTTAGTTCAAAATAGACCACACGGTCGGTGAGAAGATCATCAATTTGATATATGCAATTTCATGCAGGTGCAGTCAAGTTTCACTGTTAAGTCGTTCGTGTAATCGCCGTGACCATTTACACAGTTAAGGTTGTATGCGAAGCAGTAATTCATTCATTCAGGCTAATGCGTGTTGTTTGAGCCCGGCTGACGTTGTCCTATTTTCAGGCGATATGGAACGCGAAGACCACCATAACTCAAAACAAATTTTTTCACGACAGCCTCAAGACGTATTGTCCAGATATGCTTCAGAAGGTACGTGAGATGGTGCCTTTTTCAGATTCTTTCACGCAGTTGTGTTTGTATGTGGGTTTCTATTTCTGTTTCAGTTTCCGGACTGCGCCAAGTTTTCGAACGACGAGGACCCGGAGCACCGAGGCTACCTATTGGCGTGTGTGGTCGATCACAAGGACAACATCACCGTAGGCCAGTGCGCCTCTTACGTCAGATGGGTCGCATCGCTGATGTTTACCGACTTCCTTCTGATCGGCCGGTTCGTGAACAAATGTTCGAACGACATCATCCGGCTGAAGTGCGGCCAGTTCGACAACACCCGCAAACTGGTTCGGGTATGCTGACGACCGCACGCCGGCATTGCCTGCATTTTTCAACGTTTACTATTTAATTTCAATCACACCACAACCTGATTTTTTGACAAATCCCCATTTTTACACAAAAAGAAATAAATCAAACATGGAAACGATTGCGCAGCTAACTGAAAATGAGAATATTTGCTGTGATTTCTATTCTTTCAAAGTATGTAAACAGTAACTGCACATCGATGCCGATCTCGTGATACGTGAAAGCAAATGGTGTAGCTTTCGTAAACGATGAATGAAGTTTCGAACATCGTTTACGAGGTAGCAAACTCATCCTCTGTCGTTTACGAGCTCTGTTTTAATCTTTTACTTATTTTAACTTTATATCCGCTATTTTCGTCCTCTTTGTTTTATTTTTTATGCCATATATTTTTGTTTACTTTTTTGCCTAGCTAATTACTGAATGTTTTATTTTACTTGATTTACGTTTACACCTTGTGCTGATTTTCAGTCACCTATCAGATGCATAAAAGCCGTAGTATGTCTCGCATGGCTTGGCATGAAGACATCGAAGCACCACGCTCTCTCTGTTATTCGAAGGTCATCATCTTCCTACCCGTTTTTCCACTAGTCGTACCGAAGCGTAGTTGAGTGAAGGATTCCTTTCTCAAGTAAATTCGTAGTTGCCACCACTGCTAACCCCTGCTACCAACTGCCCTACAACCTTCTCTCACATGTTGTGACTGTTAACCTGTTGATCATTCTTATTTCTGATTTCCGTATCTCGTCTGTTCTTTATGCTGATGACCGAACACCGTTGTGGGTTCACAAAGCTTCAATCAGTAAATGTATTTTTTTCTGATTGGCTATTTTCTGAGTGGCTATTTCGTTACACTAATTGAACTGTGGAGCTTAATCAGTCAAGATTGCCTAGTGGCGTGCAGCCGTGCAAGATGCATGCTGAGGTTCGCATAACAGTGTTTGTGTATGCAGAGTGCCGTCCTAGCGTAAATATTAACATGTCAGGCAGCATGTGTCGAATGTGTTACGCTACAAACACTCTGCCGGGCTTTCACTTAACGGATCGGCATAGTTGCTAAGGATGTTTTGTTTCCAATGTGAATACAGTATGCCACTGCTAATTCAACAGTATAGCACGCTGCCAGTTCCAGATGTTCACATTGGCTTAGAAATCTAAACATTCAGCTGTAAAGTTGCTAGCTATTTTCCCATCCCACCCTCCATCCAACCAGAGTCAGAAAAATACTGCCAAATCATTTTCGACGCTACTAAGAAAGTCTTGAGACAAATTCTAATGAAGTTTCTTTCAGCTTTGAAATGACATCAAGGAAATTTTCTACATGCTCATACTCGTTTGGAACACGAAACTACATGCTGCACATGCCACATTGTTATACGGATTTTGTTTGAAACATCTGGCACACTTTACTGATTACATTCAAGTGAAGTTCAGTACCATATTGTGAGCTCTTTAAAATGTAATGAGCTTTAAATTGTGCTTATGATGGAAGTGTACGGGAGATGGGCATCCAGACTCTCTCAAGAGACCAGCTTTTACGGATTACTCTTTAAAGTCACTTCCTTACATACCATCAGTTTGTGGTATTCTTACGGTATCTTATTATTGAGTCTCGGTTCGCGACCTGAATGAGGTTAACGAAAAGACACAATGAGTATTCACCATACTTCACCCTTTCATGTCATCTCGTATTTGAATAGTTATGGCTCTAACACTCGGAACAGTGATTGGATTATGTGAGACCTGCCAACGAGCTATATTTATTGTTGTAAACAGAAGTAAGTGACTGATCGTTTAGAACATGGAGGCAGCGGCGCAGTGGATAACTTGTTTGCTGCGTCGTTTAGAGGGCGGGGTCCAAGTCCCACGAGCAGCAGCAAATTTCTCATTTTAGGTGTCAGTTCCTATGAGCAAAGAATTCACTCTTCACTCTCCCAATGTTTTTGTGCAATTTGCCGAGAAACAGCTACGAAATGGCAGACGTGAGGACACTGTGGGCAGTACAGAGCATGTCATATGTAGAGTCATGCTCTGTGATGCTTACGCCTTGCGTCCCAATTCGCCGTGAACCCCCTGATAGCTAGCGAAAAATCAGCACTATGTGTAATTCTTTAGTAAAGTACGAATGAGAGGTCACCTGCGGCTGTGTGTATCACTGGTTTCAAGCCTAACGCTGCGTTCAGCGATTTCGTCGCTTTTGACTCTTCATATTTACGTGATGCGTTGATTCAGCTGTTTTAGGACAGGCCGCATTCGCAAGGCAGTACCATGGAATGTCTGCTGCGCAAGATGGTCGAGGACCCAGCCGGATACAAGTCAATATCCTCTGAATGCCATAAAGAGATCTTAAGGACTGCCGAGTTACAGTCCGATGATTTTCACTTGGATCGACCGCTGTTCTTCGCTTGTCGTGACGACCGCGAGCGGTTTTGCCCGGACGTGATATCGGGCAACGGTCGCGTCATGCAGTGTTTGATCGAACATCGCCAAGACACGAGAATGAGCGAGGAATGCGCCAAAGAACTGCTTCTGCGGGAGCATATGATGGCCATGGACTTCCGTATATCGCATCCGTTGCTGACTGCTTGCGGACCGGACATCGCCGCTCACCACTGCATGGTCGACGAACAACACCCTGAGTACCTGAAGTTGACTCGGGTTCTGTTGTGCTTGGAGAACGTCGTGCACAGCGGTAAGACGAACGTTCGTTTTCAGTACTTAAGTACATTTGTTTACGCAAAACACATAAGGGTAAAAGTAGATCACTGTTCAAGTCAAAAATATACTTTGTGTTAACGTTGATGTACTGTCTAATTTCTGTGAAAACGGAGTTTGGTCAATCTCTTCGAAGCCCCCTTTACAGAAGCCCTGACATCAGTATGATAGCGCTGTATGATTTAAAACTCGCTGACAATTGTACATTACCTTCATTACCTTGATTTCGTAGCGTATATAATTTGTACCTACAATTCAAAACACAAAAAATAACTTTGGTTAGCTGCCTTTTGTAGCTTCTCGTTTTCCTACTCGCCATGGGTAATCACTTAAGCAAGCGATCGTTTCATGGTGCTGGGTGTGCCACTGGATGCCTGAGTCTAGCACCGAAGAAATTTGCCGCCCTCCGTTGGCAAATGCATTAACTGAATTCATGGAACTCTGCTCCAACTTTCATGAATTCGGTATTCGAAAATCAAATGTTATGATATAAAACAGTAGACCAGCTATTCAATAAATTGACATTTTTGACATGAATGGAATTTAACTCGTTTATAAAGGCTTTCCTTAAAGAAATGTGACAAATTTAGTCTTTCAAGTTACTGATTCATTGCTTGGATCATGATTGCGGCAAAAATCCTCTAGTGCACAATGATTATTTTATTGTTCCTTGGCCCGTTTTATCAGTCACAACCAGTCGTACGTCTTCAGGTATATGCATCCAGAGTTGGGTATATGCATGAGTGTGTGGTTTCATATTTTTTCGCGTTGTAAGTAACGAAACGTGTCAGTGAACAGTAACCGATATTGGTCATGACAGTTTATGTTGCAGTTTTATTCTCGAACCATGAATTAGCAAAAATTGAACATTTCCTTCAATCCTTGAGACGGGAGCCCGAAATCTAATCGAACATTTTTCAACCTTATTTTATAAATAATTCGTAATCTGATCTGTCGTGTTCGTTTTACCCTGTGATATCATTAAGTATATAATTTAGTTCCCAAAACAACAAAAGGCTGATTTGCATGAATAAATAGATCTTTTATTCCTTCATTTTCACAATCTGGATCCTTGCAGATGGCGGCTTCAAGAAGTTCTTCTAACGATTTCTTGTTCCGCCGGCAATTGCATGTATTCTACTGCCTGATTGCAGCATAGAAGGTTGTTTGAACTTTGATTCAGCGTTTATGAATATCAAATTATAGATCAGGAGACGAGGACAGTTTCACATCCTCTCTAAGCAGACCGTGATTATCCATTAAGGCGACATTTACAGCAGCGCCAAACATTAAAATGATCTCAAGCTGTCCTCTACCTAGAACCAATCCGAAGCAACGCCACATGACTAGTCTGTTTGCCGATCCGCCCGTATCTCTTGAAGCAACACTTTCGCGACCTCAAGCTAATGGTCAGCTGTATAAATGAATGAATGAAAACGAAAATAAATTGTGAAACATTCGAAACGTGAGGTAGATAAGGAGAGGTTAAAGGAGAGTAAATAATGACTAAGGATTAGCAGAGGTAAACAGAATTCGGTAATAGAACTGAGCGACAAAGAAAAAAATTAAGAAATGGGAGATCAGTGATTAAAGACGAAAATGAAGAGGAATAGGCTGAAGGAATTGAAGATAAGGACGATCGTATGAACTAAGTTGATGAACGGAAAAGAAGATGCGCCGGAATGATGTGATGAAGAAGATGGACTCGAAGGATTAACTAATGAAGGATGATAAGAAGATGGAAATATGGTACAGATTACAGGCGGATAGAGCGAGCACAAGAAGACGCAGAAACAAGTTGTGGAGGCGAAAAGAAACAAAGAAGATGGTGAAAACGACAAGGACAAATAAATAACTGAGATGTGTGATGGTCATGAAGCTAAAAAATAGAAAATGAAAAGTAAATGATTTAGAAATTGAAGCCGTGAGAAAGTATGAAGATGAAATAGGTGTTAAAGAAGTCTGATGCAAATGACGATAATGATCTCAACAATAAGAGCAGCGGAAAAATGTAATGATTAAAAGAAGCAGTAGAGGTGCCATAAACGTAGATGTTGGTGAAGAAATAAGTGGTGACGAAGTGAAATGACGAAAATGCAATGGAGGGTGACGAAGAATCAGAGAAGGAAGTAAGCGACAGTTGTGGTGAAGGTGAATATAAAGGAGAAGAATTGTGATAAAGACCGCTTGTTGCTCTGGTGAAGTAGTAGAGGAAAGTTGGTCACAGGTGGTCTTTCTTCACTTTCATGATCAGGCCGTTTTGGGCCCTTCTTTTCATGAAGTTGATGGTGCGTTGCTGATTTTCATTTCTATGTCATCACGCCCTTATTTTAAGGGCAGTGTCTACAGCCATGTGGCAAGCCTACCGTGTAGTCTCCTGTTTCCTTCTCACAGAGTAGTACTTATTGATGAACTCGAATGGAACAAGGGCTAGCGATTCAGACCGAGGCTTAAATTCGAGATTTATCGTTTCTGAGTTCGGCGCCCTACCGACTGTGCAACCCCGGTCGGAAGCAGTGTGTGGTAAATTCCTTACTCAAGGGAATTCGTGAATAAGACAAAGAATATCCTAAAGCGGAATGGAACATGGCATTTTCGGAATTTGAAGCAGACCTCTTAGATAACTGTGACAGCACTCTGCGCAGCTACTGAAATGTCTGAAATATTTTGCGAATATTTCTATTGTTTTATTTGGTACTGCTGACAGTTTTAATATATCGACTTTGTAACCTTGATTGGTCTGTTTTATGACTATATTGTGTATGTACAATCTTTAGGCTTTAGAACATGAGAACAGCTTTTATGTAATAACTACCCCGGAACATCAAGATTATGCTTTATCAAAATTTTAGTTATTAGTCAATTATTTGTTCGGTGCTATATTTAGCATATCAAAGACACTTTGTATTACATATAATGTGCACGGTGTAAAGAATTTGAAGAATGGTTTTGTTTCTTGCTACTGTATTCAGTATATAAATTTGTAATTTTTCAGTGGAAATATTTTAACTTTTCGTGATGTGGCGATGAGTCGATCGGCCTGAGGTAGTCTGTGTTAGCATGCACATTTTGTACATTCAGCGAACATGAGTTGTAGCCTTTTTAATGATGAGGATGATGACTTTGTTTTGCAGGAGGCAGACTCGGTAGAAACTGTGAAATACAGACGCTGCAACACCGACAGATGCTGTTGTCTGACTACCGAATCGACCCGGAGATCATCGACGCCTGTTCCGCCGACATTGCTAAGCACTGTCAGAACAGCTTGGAGGGCGGAGGTCGAACGTTGCACTGTTTGATGGGCGCCGCAAAATCCGGCCATAGTAACCTGTCGCCGACGTGCTTTCAGGCGGTGAGCTGTGCTTCGCCCGTTGAACGCTGGTGCCAGGCGATCGTTTCACACGTTCTCCTTCGTCATCGTGTTTTAGATAGCTGCGTTGCTGAAGGTTTCCGACGTATCGTCGGATTATCGAGTGGATGCCGTGCTGTACAACGACTGTAAGAGTGTCATCGATGGCGTGTGTCGTCATCAGATATCGTCTGAAGACCAGTAAGTATATGAATGTATGGATGCGATTTGAGTTTTTAGCTTAACGGATTTCTGTTGTTGCCGAAGAGATATCCAATATAAGATTAAGCAACATTATTATGTCAGAAATCATTCGATTACTTATAAAGTTTTTCATACACTAATAACCTCGCAATAGCGTATGCTCATATGCACTGAAGTCCTCGAAAATATCACTCAATCAAAACGTCTCATTTGAGGCTCATTACTTTATGGATGTATTGAATATATCCGAAAGTCTTTTTATGGAATCTAACCGTTATATACATATTCTCCAAAGTTTAGGATCGTGTTCGATCCATTATGTTTATTATTATTCGTTAAGACGAACCTTTCGAAATCCGTTGAATTTGACGATGGAGCATTATTTAATGCATTGAATATTAACAAGTGGAGCACAAACTGTGTATTGATAGGTGGAGCCCAAATGTCGGTATTGACTATTATTATTACCCCACAGAGCATCTACGTTTTTTCGTGTACGAATGACCATGCACACACCACACTTAGTAGATCGAATGAGCTGACTCCAACGATTTTCAACATTCTGCCGTAAGGTAAAGATCTGCTAAGGGATGCTTCGCCTGACATGAAGCCACGCTGTTCTTCTTCAATCTAGGAATAGGCTGTTATGCGGCGTCTCCTCAGTCACTCCATAGTGCAGTCTTTCCCAGCAGGTTTAGTGAGGTAATGCCCCGATAGTTGAAGCACTCCGTGCGGTCTCCCTTCTTGAAAAAGGTACTACAATCTCGCGTTCTGCAGTCTACAAGTGTCTTCCCTGTCATCATTACAGGCACCTGTCAGCCACAACATTCCTGGTTCCCTTGAAGCGTTAAGCATTTCAGAGTGGACTTCATCGATTCCAGTAGCCTTGCCACTTTTTTAGGTCTTTACCGCTTTACCGCTTCTTTGACTTCGATTGCTAAAAGACTAAAATCTGTTGCTCGCTGTACATGTCAGTCTTTCTCCGGTTGCTCCCGATTAAATAGTTCTTCAAAATGCTCTCTCCATTGCGAAGTGTATCCTCTTCTTTCGTAAGAAGGCGTCAGGACCTGTCGTTCAGGACTAATGGACTGTTCTTATTCTGTCTCGATGGCGACCGAAGGTTTGTTCACGTCCGGAAGTTAGACCACCTCCAGCACCTCTTTCAACTTTCCCCAGGAACCAGATTTCCCCTTTACCGCTGCTGTAGTTCAGTCCTTACGCGATTCTTCGTACCGCATTCCAATTGAAGGCCCCTTGTTTCCAAGCCACCTGTCTAACGTAGCTTTCTTCTCGCTTACAGCCATTTGAACCTGTGATGTTCACCGCGGAGTTCAGTTTTTTAAAGATGTTTTGTTCGCATG